GTTCGCGCGCGCTTCGACGAATCAGGCTTGGCAGCCGGCGAAGAGCTTCTCTTGGTGAGAAAAGCTGGAGTAGGCTTGCATGCGATGGGTGAAATGGAGGCATGGAAAAGAGGTCATTGATACGAGCGAAGGGAGGAAAAGACACGACACAGCTATTTGTGCATGTAAAGCAAAATTCCATTTATCTGCTTCTCGGGTTTCTTCTATCTTTGTCCCTTGTTATGACGTCAAAACACTGGACTTCAGCATTCCAAAAGTCTTCGCCACAAGATGTGGTGCTCCTCCGAGCCCAAAGACCATATCAGACGTTCACAGAGTAAGAAGAGTACCAAAGTGAGAGATATAATGAAGGTGCCTGGGCTCCTGGCGCGTCCGGCGATGCCCTTTGTGCGAGTTGTGGCAAGTGCTTTTGTGGACGAGTTTTGATAGGTCTCCGAGAGTAGGGACACAGAATTAACATGATGAGTACTTGATCGATGCTACTACTTGTTCCATTGACACCAGGCTGTTACACTGAAGCGGAAGCCCTGTGGGGAGGCATGCACAATTTAATCAGGGACTTAGACGATTTGATGACTTTGCCTGAGCCTGCCTTGGCCTGGGTCGGCCGAATTTCAAAAGTATGGTGCTAAGAAGCATTCTGAGGCCTTCTCATTAGCTAATAAGGCTAGGCTCTGGTCACACCTTGGCTTTTATTATACAGATAGCTGTTTTAAAGTACAGAGACACCTTTAAAGAGCGGTAAAGTATGGAGCAGAACGGACTTTTCACTGGGTAGTGAAGATCAGGTGCCGCTGGCCAGGATGCATATCCTCCTTGTCCTGGATCTTGCCTTCGCATCGGCTTTTGGACTTGATGTCTACCAAGTCAATTGATTGCCTATTGTTGTACATGGGGTATCTAATGATGCTACAAAGTCCTCTTACGCGTTCTCCGTGCGCCCGACCGCCTGGACATTCTGATCCCGGTGCTCTGCCGGACCCGGGATCTTCTTGTTCACTTCCCCTGAGACGTCGAGGTTCGACCGAAGGTAATGCAGCGCCAAGGTCATATTATCGTCCGCATCTGTCTGCTTGCTTGCGACGTTCCCTAGCACCTCCAAAATTTCTGTGACCTTCGGCAGGATGTCGTCGAGTTTTTTCTCGACGTTCTTCCGCTGGGCGGCAGTTCGGACAAGAACCGCGAAGTCGAGCGTGTCCTGCCGCTTCTTGAGGTCGTCCTGCGTGCGCCTGAGTTTGCGCAAAGCCCGCCGTTGTTTCCTCTCCAACCCTTCCAGGGCCGTGGTCAAAATCCGGTTAATGACCTCCGCGACCTGTGGCGGGACGTCAAGGTGAGGGAGCGTTGGGTTGACGTCAAATGATGTCGTTGAGCCGCCGTTTCCGGCAGGGTTTCGAGCAGGTCGGCGGGGTGAAGTCCTAGGTGCATCGGCTGGGCTGGGCTGGCTCTCCGGTTGCAAGTTGCTCTGGAAGAGCTTGCTGAAGTCCACGGAGGGGCTAGCGCTGCTGCGGGAAATAGTTGATCGTCGAGGGCGCGGCGGTAAGACCGACTGGTTGTCCGGCTGTCTCTGAGGCACTGGCTGCTCGACCTCATGCAGCGAATCGCGACGGAGGAGGGAAGGGTTGGCGTCAGGGATGTGATCCTGCGCGGATGGAGTGGCCGGTCTGATGAAATCGTCGACGCCATGCGCCTTGGGAGCGGCAGCGGTGGTCAATGCGATTTCCTTGATGCCCGGGGATGTGCTCACCTCCAGCTGCTCGAACTGCTCGCCCTCGCCCTCTGGCACCTGCTGCTGATCCTCGCCCTCCGCCGCTTCCTGGTCCTCCTGCCCCCCCTGCTCCCCCTGGTCCTCTTGCTCCCCCTGCATCTCCTGGTCCCCCTGCTCCCCCTGCATCTCCTGGTCCTCCTGCTCCCCCTGCGTCTCCTGGTCCTCCTGGTCTGGCCACTGAGGGATCTCTAGTTCAGCTTCCACTTCCCGCTCTTCCCGCCTTTCCAACCGCACCGGCTGTCCTGGTCCCTCAGCCGTTTCCCTGTCACCACTACGCCGCAGCCGCTTGCGTTTTGTATCGCCTAGTTCGTCGTCTCTCAAAGGCCGCTCTCGACGTCGTTTCGACCTCGTACCAGGGCCGCCCTCGCTCCCTTGCCCGAGCTGGCCACGAGTGCCGTTCGCGTCGCCTGCGTCGCCTGTCTCCCCCACGTCGCCTGCTTGATCTTGGGTGCTGTTACCCTCGCTTGCCTTCATCCTAGTGGGTCCCTTTGCCCGGTCTTCGAGGTCGCACTTGTGCTTGACCGACCTGCAGGGATTGCAGGCAAACTTCTTGGGCCCGCCGTCCCTTTCGATCTCATTTGCCTCGCAGACGAAGTTGCCTCTAACGCAACGCGAGCAAGGCTTCGCTTGAATTGTGGGCTGGGGTAGCTGTCAGCGCGCGTACTGCAGATAACTCACAGAGACATACTGTGCCATCCTCCACCTTCAAGCTACGCCCCCGCCGAGCCGGACCTGCGCGTTGCGCTGGCGGCTTCGTGCTGGAAGCGGGTGGCGGCGTGGCTGAGCGAGAAGGAGGTGGCGGAGGTGTGAGCGACTGGCGAGCGGTTAGCGGGCGCGGAGGTGCGAAAGCAAAGAAACTTGCCTCGCCAGGTGCGTCCTCTGGGTTGGGACCGTATTCCGAACGTCGGACATCCCACCATTGCCTGCGGCCGGCCCATCTGACGTGGGCGCTGGACTCCATGGCGACGGCGATGGCCTCGTTTGTTGGTTCCTCCCCGCATCCAACAGCCTTGGCCAAGGGACCTTTGAACTTCACGATGGAAAACCCTGCGGTCCTCAGTGCTGACATAAGGTCGAGTGCGTGGCGCTAGTTTTGTTAGCGGTGTAGTAAAGGCGGCTTCAGGGCGAAGTACTCACATTCTCCCGAGAATACTTCCGAGAGAATTCCTCCTCTTTGTACACCCAATAAAGCCGGTGGTTGAGCGACAACGCGATGCGGCGGATGGCCATGGAGCAGAGGTAATCAGCGTCAGTTTGATCCTTGAGGCGGCGGAATTGGCTGGGAACCCAATAGGGGGTGGTCGACTTCTTGAGAACAACGGCGCGACGTTGGCTTGTCGACGATTTCGGCATCGGGCGGCGTTGGTTGGTTGGTCTTGGGGCGATGATATCGATGCAGGCCAGCCGACGCGTCGCGCGTTTACGTGAAGGGATTTGAGATCCGACAGCGGAGTCTAAACTGGCGGTAACCGTGATTGGCGGCTACTGAGACGGCGCGACGGCTTTGGTCTCACGGCCTGCGCGGGCTTACGCAAAGCAATCTATTGCGTTTTATTTGCATTCCTTGACGGCTGGCCCGCTTTTGGGAAACAATGGCCGGGGAGGTCTTTTGTTTGAATTTTCTTATAAATGATGGCCTGCGCTGCGGCCGAATCCGACTTACAGCCTGCGGCAGCACCTTGCCATGGCAGGCCTCGACTTTTCTGATCGGATTGCCGCTCACATGCAGGACGCTTACCGGCAAGATGGGTACGCCGCTCTCCAGCCGGGAATTTCGCCTGGCCTTTCAGCCGATTGCCACCGCATTGCCCGGCTTGTGTCGGAAGCGGAGTCTTGTGCGGGTGAGTGCCGCTTTCAACCGAGCCTCCCTGGAGACTAAATTGTTGTTCAACCGAGCGAAGTTAAGGTTTCCTGGGATATCGATCGATACGCAGATAAAATAAGCTCCAAGCAGAGAGGATTTGCAAATACAGCGGAGGAACTGCTAGAGAATCGATGCCGGCCGACATTGTCTTGGTCTAATGGCGTCTTCCCGTGGGCTGAGTACGATGCGGCATCGCGGCATCGCAAGGGTGAAACAATCACCGCTTGCTCACCCGTCAAACTCATAGACCTCTTTGGGCGTCCGCTGGCTTGGGTGCTACCTGGCGCTTTCAGTTCAGAACGACAGGTGCGCCCTTTCCAGCATTTATTTACAGGCGCATAACCTCGCCAGTAGCAAAACATGGTAGACGACCTAAAACCGTTGAAGCAAATCTTCTCGTCATCCGTCACATCTGGGTCTTACGACGTTCTGCCGGCATCAACATCTGGCTGGAGGCAGCAGCGGTATTTCTTCAAGCGGCCAGAGCAGGTGGAGACAACTCCGGGCTGCATGGACCTGTCACCTGCTTGGTACCAACAGGCGCATCCAGTAAGTGATGTTCATTATCTCATACGCTTTATTCATATCTCGTAGAACACAGTGCCGCCTGAGCCTTGCGCCTTGCTGAATAACCCAGTAGTTCGCCAATGGGTGGCTGCCTCATATGAGCCGTTTGGTCTGGTGAGCGGATTGCTCTCGCTCATCCATCCTCAGCAATACTCTTCCGGTCGGCGTACGCTGGGGCGCTGTTTATCGAATGCGAGGTTACATAGCGCCGTTGACGCTTGGCCGTCAGTCTTTGGAGCCATGAGCGTCATGAGTAACCGGCAAAGCATATTGCATCGCGATACAAGCGGACGACCTAGCTGGTACGACGTCCTGGCTTCTATCGGTAATTACAAAGGCGGCACAGTTTCCTTGCCAGGGTTAGGCGTCAACCTCGAGTATGCACCAGGGACCATTGTAGCCCTTTATGGGAAATTACTTCGACACGGCGTCCCAGTGTGTTCAGGTAACCGAGTCTGCTACGCTTTTTATATGCGTGATGATGTGCAAGCGTGGGCTGGAGTGGAGACGCCAACTTGGTCGAAGGGTCCCGCATTCTAGAGCACGGTGTAGGCTATGCTTGGGCGAACCCAAAGCGAATCCAATAGACATTATGACGGTTAATGTAATCTACATATCTACAATAGAACTTGGTTTGAATGAATCCCTTCAGCGACGGTAACGCAAATGCGCTTCAAGCCACTGCTCCATTAGCTGCATCAGGAAAATGACAAGCCGCTTTACCGGCATTATCCTGACTTTGCCGAGATGAACCTACTTTTTTGGTATTTTCGGCTCTCTATTAAAGAATATTTGGCTAAAAAACCACATCAGTGGCACTGAAGCTGCAAATCTCATTAAAAAGAGTAAGCTACAAGTCTTTCAGACCGATTTGGATCCTCAAATGTAGCAGAATTGTGGTTTCAAATTTTGGGAAAGTAGGTTCACTCTGGTAAAGACAGGAAAGTGAGGTTAATACACGTGTCAAAATCCTGATGCCACTATAAAAAAAGAGGATGAGCGATGCTTTTTTGAAAGACGGTAGCGCAGACGTACTAGAGTCCTGCAACATTGTCCGCCCGGGCTTCAACGTTGCATGCGGTAGTAGCGGTAGTTTGGTGTAGATGACAAGCGAAGGTTGTGAATATTTCGTGTAAACCGCGTCCTGAACCTGGTTGCAAGCACGCATTGGAGATGCCGAACCTTGAAGGCAGGTGAGATAACGACGAATATAGGGTAGCTGTTAGGCAGCTCACCATCGAGTTCGTGTATATACTGGGTACTGCAAGCGTAAACTAGAGCCCTAAACCCCTCGTAAGCCCTGCTTTGTCAGCCCTTACAAGGTCACTTACGATCCGCTCGTCCAGCCTCGCAACAGCGACACTCAGCACCGTCCGCATTACCAAGAAGAACGAAGCGCGAGGAGGATGAACGGCTCTCGGGAGTACCATTTTGGTAGGCCAACACGGAACACAATAGTAGCGAGTTGCCTTGCAAACGTGGAGTTGATATTCGGCTTGGACGAAGCAACTGACGGCAAATGGGAGAAATGCCTTGCATCGGCGGCGATTCTTGGAAGGGGGATAGTCTGTAGGCCTAAGCATTGGTCTCTGATGCTTTTTCTTTGCTCTTGCTTTTCTGAGGGCTAGAATCCTTGAGTTTATGGATGATCGCACCGTGGACAACAAGGAGGGTGTGTCAAGCGGGCGGCGCGAGGGCGAGCCCTTGAGGAGGCGGGCGATCTGTTCTGTGCGGTCTTCGGTGATTTTGGAGAATGCGACCATCATTGGTCGGGTACTAGTAGTAGGTCGTCGCTGGGAGCTTTTTACTAATGTTAAGTCATAAGTCATTTGTGTAGCCCGCGTGACACGCACCTAAAATTTTCACGAGTCCCCGTCTCCGAGTATACAGAAATTGATCTCTGCTCTCTCCAACTCCGCCGCATTCTGCTTCCCTAGGAGGGCGCATCAGGATTTTGACACGTGTATTAACCTCACTTTCCTGACTTTACCAGAGTGAATCTACTTTCCCAAAATTCGGAACCACAATTCCGCTACATTTGAGGATCCAAATCGGTATGAAAGGCTCATAGCTTACTCTTCGTAATGAAATTTGCAGCTTCAATGCCACTGATGTGGTTTTCTAGCCAAATATTCTCTAGTAAAGAGCCGAAAATACAAAAAAAAGTAGGTTCATCTCGGCAAAGTCAGGATAATGCCGGTAAAGCGGCTTGTCATTTTCCTGATGGGTTCAGAGGTGTTGCGACAATCCGCACCCCGTCAGGACAGAATAAGAGCGGCAACCAGAACGGTAAGGTCTTGCCCGTCTCCGTCCCCGCTGTGCAGACTATGTCCTTGGCGCCCCGCAGGATGGCCTGCGCAATCTCCATCCGCCATAAGCATGGCCTCACACGGAACCTCTCTTGCGTCGCTTCTTTTTCTCCGACTATTACACCCACGAAGTAGTGCCCTTGATGATGACCTCGTATGTAGGGCCGACCGCGCCACCGATGAGTTAAACGTCATCCACAATGAGTAGACTGACGTTGCGCAAGTTCTCGCGCTGCTCCCACCTCCGCGAAAGCACATCCCGCTGTAATGAGGTAGTCTATTGTCAGCGTCAGCCACCACCAAAAATCGAGAACTAACGACAACAAACGTACCTGAATTGGTGTATACTTAACAGCATCCTTTTACTTGAGCAGCCTCAAATCCAAACCCTTTCCTGTCAAAATCACAACCTCCTTCACGCCCTGTACACCGCCAAATTTGCGCCTCTGCTCCGTATAGAGAGCCTGAAACGCCAGTATCTGATACTACTCGGCTCGCTGCCGCCGTAGATCGCCTCGCACTCCTTTTTGTGCGGCGCGCTCAGCGGAAGCGGCTGCAGCTCCAGCAACGGTGTCAGGGTGTGAACTTCTCGGGAAAGATAATGTATTGGAACGAGATCGGGAGGCGCGTCTCCGCGTGCAACCCGGGTCCAGATGACAGGGATGCAATAGGTAGGTGAAGTGGGCTTGAACATGGGCACGGTGATGGTGACGTTGTGCTCGTCCTCCGCTGCGGAGGGCGAATAAGCCGTGGAACAGCACAAATTCGCTCCTCGACCATTATCTGGAACATCCCCACTCCACCGTCAATCTTCTCATCCCACCTGAAGTCCGGCGTGATAGACGAATCGATCCTCAACAGGGACCGTATAATCTGCTGTAGGTGCGCCTGTAACCGCAGCTTCGGGAACTAGTGCACGTGCCGATGCACAAGTGACAAGTCTCTCCGCATTCGGAAGGTCAATGAGCTCTCCAACCTCTGATACACCCCCGCAGACTGCGGGGCGTCCGCCATGTCTGCAACGAGCAACCGGTTAGCGATGATAGCAACATCTGACTGAATCATACCTGGAGCAACGACTAATGCAGTACCCGCTCCCACCCACCGTCCACGCTTCACGCGTATCAAACTCGTGCTTGCTTCAGACACAGCTGCATTTGGGGCGCAGCGCAGCGATTGACCCCTTTGCGTTGATGACGGCTCGCGACGAGATTGCACGTGCGTTCGTTACCTGAGTGCGCGGGGCACGATCATCAGAACGTTCTTCTTGCAAAGTATCCGCCGATGGCGTATCATTAGGCATATCTACAGTTTCAACGAGAACACTTCAGCATGAATCCATGAGTTCTTAACAATCGTAATGTATGTGCGAGAGTGCGAAAATGCAATGTACGGAGATCAACGCAAAAAGAAAGGGAACAAAGAAAAGAAAAGATAGATCTAAAGCGAGAACAACGCGAATGCAACGGCTAAGTCAAATCTCGTCATATAGGAAGAAAAAAGAGCGGACCGCTGTCCGACATCTTCGCTGCTAGGGCCCCAATAAGTACTGGTCCTCAGTCGTCAAGGAAGAAGGGTGGTACCTCCCGCGGTACGGTAAGTGGCTGCCGCCAGCGATCATGGCATCGTTGGAACAAGTGGTTGGTGATGGTCATGTGAACGAACAATGGCGCCAGTCGTTGAAGTATGGGACTCTGCAAACGTGGCGGGGAGTTAGGCCACTCAGCCATTAGAGCTCGCAACTTGTCAGCTCGAACATGCGAGCTTGCTGCATCAGCTCCGAGAACATCGCGGCGAGTTTCAACGGACTGGGTTAGGCATCGGGAAAATGTCGGTGAGCCTCGCATGCCGGCCCGACGGATCAATCCGCAAGCACGAGCGGGTGCGTCGAGTGCCATGACGTCAGTGGCGAAACCTAGATCCGATAGATCCCAAAACATTCGGGTCAGCCAAAGTCTCCGGGGAGATACTGTGACCGCGCACGTTAAACACAGTTTTGATTCGTCGATTGGGGCACGGAGTCCAAGTCGACCAAGCGACACAGTTGAGTCCTTGCCACTGCCTGATCCACCTTCCCGTTTACCGTTGCCACGTTCGTCCGGAACTCCTCTTGCCGACCAAGCGAAACCCCCGAGAAAATGTCGCCACTCCTGCGTAGAAAGGCCGCGCACTTCTGGGACCTGGTCAGGCAGTCGCACTGCGATGGCACTGAGGACGGCAGGGCTTCCCCAGTAAGCGGTAATCAGTGCAGGCCGAAGCGAAAGCCAGTTGCAAATGAAAGTGACCAGCTTGGGGGTTGGGGGTAGTTTGAGTCCCAAAGAAGAGGTTGGGGTTAGGAATGAGGAAGGCGCCAGCGAAAGGCGGGCAAGAGATCCGGAGTAGAGAAGCCGACTTTCCCGCAGGCGCTTGACCACGTTTGTTGCACGCAGGGGAGCCTTGCGTTTGTGTCAACTTTCCAGCGGAGATGGATAGTTTATGAGAACAAGCTGGCTGATGCCGAGGACGGCGACGACGACGAGATAGAGGAAGCGAGAGACATGAGAGGGGTGGATGGGGCGGGAGGCGACGGAGACGTAGGGTGGGCGGGATGGTGGTGGTCAGAAAGCAGGAATAGGGTGGCCCACCCAATGACTGTGTAGGAAATCGCGCGGGGGGTACAGCCACTCCCCATTTGGGAAAGTCGGGGCGCCAAGTGTGCGCTACGCGCCACCGGCTCTCCAAATGTGGGGGACAAGCCGCCGGCTCTCCCAAATGGGAAGTGGCTGTACCCCCCGCGCGATTTCCTACACAGTCATTGGGTGGGCCATCCTATTCCTGCTTTCTGACCACCACCATCCCGCCCACCCTACGTCTCCGTCGCCAGTATGTAGACGCCGATCGCCATCGCAGCAACAATGCTGGTCCGTCGTCGGGCTCATCTGCGACGTCTACCAAGGGCGTGTGCACGCAGCCGTCGCCTCCCCTATCAAGCTTCGGTAACTTACGCTCGTCACGACAGATGGCCACCAGCAAGCATCCTTCCAGTCTATTCTCTCCTCATCTATGGGAGCCTATGCCTGAGGATTCTATACATACGTTACCTAGCGATCATGACATTCACTCGGTCTCAAGATACACCAGATCAATGGAGTCCGTATGACGCTTTGACGTGGGCGCCATGCAATGATGGAGTCATCACCTCTCCTATTGCCGACTATATTCTTCCATACCGCCCAGAACGCGCAGACCTCGTCGCGCGTGCTGATGGTCGCTTTGGGCTCCACGATCCATTCCATGTTCCATACGAATTACAATCCCCGGCAATGCTGGATCATTGCCTATCCCATCAAAGACGCGCCGTTCTGTGGTACACCCTGAACATCCATGATGTCGACTTCTCCCCTTCTAGCGGCCGCTCTGGCATTGTGAAGCCGTCTCTGCTCAGCCTGCTCGCTGAAGCCTCCCGCGTCCCTTCAGGGAGACCGAACCGTTCATAAAGGGTGCCGACCCGCGCAACGCCGACTACAGGGAGGCGGACAGACCTTCTCTCATCGCCGGCCGTGCATGGGTCGCGGACGCGCTGGATCGCGTCAAGTCTCATGGTCAGATATTGGGTTCACGTGCAGGCGACCTTTCGAAACCTCACGCTCCGCTTCGCTGATCTGCAGCGTGGTATGATGGATATCTTCGGTTTTGTACACTACTGGCGCTTTGTAGGGCGTGCCGTTCTCCACAAGGATTGGGCTATCTACGCTCCCCTGATTTCGCTCCCAGCGATCTGAAGCTAGACGGCGTCATTATCCGGGCCAGCACCAAGTACATGGGGGCGCTCTGCACAAATTCCACGTGTGCGTCCACGCTTTACCGCTTCGGTGGGCATGTTTGGATCCCCCGGAATCGAAACGATATCTTTCCGTCTATCAAGAGCTTGACGATGATCTCCCTCAAACAATACCCCCATCTTGCGATCGAACACTCGAAGGTTGACAATGTGGCTACTCGATATCCCGCAGTAGTGAGGAACTGGCCCATGGGACCAGAGCACGCATATATGGCTCGGTACGGGAACGGGAATACGGCCGAGAAGTCAGAGGTCGTTTTCGGTGACCCGGCTACCTCGACGAGGATGAATGCGGCTTACAACCCAAAGCCCAGCGTCGCTTCGCATCAGCGCAAACCATGTAAGTCCTCTCGGTGATTCGATATTAATCGAGACTTTACTAGTATGTAGACGCCGATCGCCATCGCAGCAACAATGCTGGTCCGTCGTCGGGCTCATCTGTGACGTCTACCAAGGGCGTGTGCACGCAGCCGTCGCCGCTCGGGACCGGGTGACACAGCCGCATCCACTTCGGCTACCACATCGGCGACCACATCGGCTCCTCGGCGCTCGTCCCGGATCGCCCGTTCGCCTTCCGCACACGCCCACACCACCGCGTACTACGACGACGACGAACGAAGACGACGATGAAGACATGGAGAAGGCCCTGGAAGAGGCTATGGCCGACGCCAACACCGATCCCGGCGACGCCAAGGGCAAGGGACGCGAGGAGGAGCTCATCGAATACACGGTCGACGAGGACTCGGACAAGGACGACGGCAAGGGCAAAAAGAAGGCCACGCCAATCGCCGCCTGAATCTCGAAGGCCGCCCATGTACACTCCCACAGAAAGTCCGAGATCTGGGAAAGGCGGCAAGTCGCGGCGGCAGGCTGGGCGGCGCGGCGTCAGTGGCGGTGTATAAAATAAAAATCCCACGATGTGACCGCCGCGCGTCGTCTCGCCGCCACGCTTATGCGTGCTTGAGCAAAGACTGAGCGTGTTTGAGTCCGCCAACGTTGCATGCCTACACTATAAGTTTCGACATATCCAAACTCCAATAAGAATGATTCGGACTCTATTGAAAGTGCCGATTCGGACTCCAGTGAACATGAATTAGATTGATACTCCAGCGACTCGGGCTGACGACGATACCACGATATTTAACTTCTCTCTCGGAGTGTAGTGTAGCTATGTTGACCGCATCAGCTCTCTTCTACTTTTGTACTTTGTATCAATGCTGCGTCATGCACTGAGCTGCATGGAACTGTTTAAATTCAGCGACAGGGTCCAGTTGAGAGTGATAGAGCAGCAATGGCTGCACGCGTTGACAATGAGGCAGCGAGACATAGCACGAGCATCGTAGTACGTGGGCATGGATAATCATAGTATCGGTACGTCCAACTGCAGACGATAGCCTGGTATCCAAGGTGCTATGTGAAATCCAAAAGACAAACCATACGCTGTTCATCTCGCAAGCCATCCTCGTTTCGCTCAGATCCTTCGTCTACATAAACGTACGATATCCTCCCTAGACATTGTTCATCCATTTACGATTGCAGCCTCGCGTGCCTTTCAAGAGGTCCACATTTTCCATCCTCTTTCATGCAGCTCTCACATGGGCTCCAGTGGGGTAGTCTGATAAAGTACCTAAGTATGCGGAAGCTACTTATGCAAAGTCGAACAGACAATGCTTCATATGCTTTGTGCATTCAGACCCGCCCTCTGGAAGATTGTGTGACTTACAATATCCTCCCTTAATACGGCTCCGTCTCAAAGGCTTGTAACTCTGTACCATGCCACCGGAAATGCTCTTGAACGCCGCTCTCAACACCAAGGTTCGGCGCACGGATTATGTTCGTAGTCTGTATTTCTTCATCATATGCCACTTCTACGGCGGCGAGCCGTCCGTACGGTGGCTCGTCGAGGGAGTAAAGGATCCGCGTAGATCCGGTCCAGTTGAAGGTATGTGCACCGCCACTGCCGCCGCGCCGCCGCGCCGCCACGGCGGCATATGCCGCCTTTCCCATTTCCCGGGTGTTCTCCACTCCCACCCTTCTCGGCGCATTGCCAACGCATTCCGCAACTACTCTCCGATACCCGTAAGCATGCCGCCCTCGGCATCCGCTGTCTCTCACTCCTTCGCCCTTGATCAGCACTCATACACTCCTACTGCCCCTCGTGTACGTCTCTTTACCATATGACTCCCCCTGACGCGTATTCCATACCAGCATGCAGCTCAAAGGCCAGCTTAGACACCCGACGTCGCTAGGAGAAGAACTTGGACTAGTTCCTGGAGCCGAAGACTCCAGGTGTAAGGAAAGAAATGTCGTATCCCTTCGATCATGCCGGCTCGCGGCCCGCGAGCGCGGATGGCCCGCACCGCAAGAATTATGTCTAAATTTGGCAATGTTTCAGTCTCTGCGGCAGCACTTACATGTGTTCTTTACTGATTCCGCCCACTCAAAGCGCATTTAATGTCAGGTGCTCTGAATGTGCGCAATGCGGTGGACCTGGCCAGATGCGTTGATGCCCCGACGGTGGCAACACTGTCGAGACTTGTATGACGTTCCTCTAAACATGACCAGGTTTGTATTTTTTTTTAAAAAAAATGAACAGTTACTTATTTAGCACCAATATCGGTCGTCTTGTTTTGCATTCCGTCGACCTCCACTAGCGGGCCTCATTGTTCAGTACATATATGCCAGAGGTTGTTATGTAGACAAACGCGTATAATTCGCTCGTAAGTAGCCACTGCCGTTGATGTGCTATTCACAAATATTGATCTCCCCCTAGCACTCTTAAGATGGGCCTCGTTGTGCAATAGATGTGTTCTCCTGGGCGCAGCCAGTGCAACTAGTAGATGTATGCTAGAGGTGGTTTTGCAGACAAACGCGTCCTTCGGGTCCAGGTGTGCCCACTAGGGCCTTGAGTCTAAATATAGGACCTCGTGGAAGTAACTACACGCCTAATTGAAACCCGGTCCGGTGGAAACATGTGCATGCAAACGGGACCCCCTGAATATACCGGTGGATGCCTGTTCCGAATTGCGCCGGTTCGGTCCGGACCAATAGCCCCTATTCATGGTCGAAATTTTGGATAGAGCAACAGGCCTACGCTACTGGGGCACAACATTTGTTCTTGGCGGGCTTCTCGCTTCAGGATGCGACAGGCAACAGGAGACACAACGGCAAGCACTGTGCGGCCATCCACTCTGTACAAGGTGGATTAGTTGCCAGTGCAAACACTCACTCTAATAATGGTCCGAAAACATGTCCAGCGTCAGGCTCGACGGCATCTCCTTGCTCACGCTCTACCAAGAAGCGCTGACCACGGTCCGGCGGATGAGGCCGATCGCGCAGCTCGTGTGCATCAGCAAGTCATGTGCGCTGTACCAGCCTGGGGTTGTGCACTGCAAGAACATTGGCGGGTCGGGCACCGATGTCGATTGGAAGGTGCGTCTTTCTCCCCTGTCTGAGTCTTCATGCGTTGCGTCGTTGCGTCTGGGTACTGACGATGTGTACGTGTTCGGTGTAGTGCGAGGCCGACTTGCCCTCGTCGTTGCGGTATGGAAATGTCGAAGTCGGATGCGAGGGCTGGAACGGGCCTGGGGACCCGTACGTTCTCAAAGGTGCGTTTCTGGGTCCATGTCAATGTATACCTCCAGCTCACTCCGTTTTTGAAGGCTCATGCTCGCTCAAATACCACCTCGTCCAGCTCCCGGCCTCGCACCGGGGCACTCTTTTGAACTCCCACGTCGATACCTGTCACCTACGACTCTCCATGCACGGGTACTGGTTCACGATGCATACACATGCGTATTGCACGCTCAATGCCTGTATGTGGAGGACTTTGCACATCCACAATATGGTCGAGCATGCCAAGTACGCCTGTCAGCGTCGGCATTGGCACAGGGGCAATGGGACCCCAGCGACAGTTGGCAGGGTGAGACGAGGAAACCACGAGGCGCGCACGGGCCGGTTCTGCGAGGTGCGCTTCGCAGCGCGCGACACACACGCTATGAAGGCGTCCGAGCACGAGGGCCCACGCGGAAGAAGACAAAGACGAAGGGTGGGGGCGGGGACGTTCCCTGTCTACGCTGACTATGAGTACGTCTAGAAATCCTGCTCTACCAGCTCTACACCAAGGGCTTCAACGTCTTCAACTTCGTCATTTCGGTAGCACCCATCCTCAACCAGTACGTCAACCCAATCGCGTTCGACGCCCTCAGCTGGACATACTACGTGAGCAGCATCTTCTCCTCTCTTCGCCGCGCTTGCCATCAACAATGCTGATGCCCCATCCTCCAGTTCGTGTACATCTGCTGGCTCGCTGCCGATGCCCTCTTCCTCTGCATTTCGGAAGGGCTTACAGGATGGGGAGAGCACCGAGGTATTTCTATCCTTTTCATTTGGTTGCTCTTCTTATCTTTCATCTTTGACCTAACCTCTGTCTCTCCGCCTATCAGGTACAACAGCAGCTTGCATGTTCCCCGCAACGGAACACAGAGACGGGATCCCTCCCAAAATCAACGCCTCTACGATCACCGCAAGGACGACCCTGTTCGATTCTCAGTTCTCGCCTGCCATCGTCCAACAATACGCGCCAGCAAGCAGCCTCGAAGCTCTCGGGCGAGTACATCTCCGCCTCCTTGACCTCTTCCTATGCCCACTCGATGGCCTCTTCGAGTTTCACTTTGTCATCAGGCACTACCCATAATTCGTCGGCATCCTCCTGGCCAAGTCTCGTGTTTGACGCTCGCGCTCATTATCGCCCGTTTCTTTCTAGTACAAGTCCGAGTAGTACGATATCTTCCAAAAATCGCCTCCTCCTCTACCGCTGGCCCTTCCCGCAAGAACAGCGGTGCCCGCCACGCGCGCATCCACAATCTGACAGCTCTATCGTCTACCATGAGCACGGCATCCGATCCGCGCCCACGCTCGAATTCTCTCTCACAGCACACCTCCATCCCCGCACCCTCCGCCAGTGCGATAGGCAAGCAAAAGGCGGTCGAACCTGTCTCGGTACCTGCGTTCACCCCAAACGGATGCGGCAAGAGCAGATCAAGGCCAGGTCCCTCACAAAAGATCCCTCCCGATGGCGAAGAAAGCAAAAAGGAGTTGGAGAAGAAGGCGAAGGAACAGGTAGAGTTTCTTACGAAGGTCGGCATGCTACGGCGGCAGGGGAGGATTATGCTTGACAGTCAGTTTATCGCGCTCTTGCAGGATCAAGACCAAGACGCTCTTCTCGTGCCCCCGAAGACTCACCCGCGTGGGGTGGACATTTGGGACCTCGTCTTACATGAGGTTGCACAGCGGAGTAACCGCAACCTCGGGCGCGGGCGGACGGTTTGCGACCAGGTCGCGAGTAAGCTAAGCGCGTACTGAGAGCAGTCGGCGCTGCGGGAAGATCGGGCGAGGACGAAGGAGGAGAAGCGGCTGAGGGCGCTGGCGAAGGCGACGATCAAGATGGTTATGGTGTGGAAGAAGGCAGTTCATGTACGTGTTTTTGTTTTCTTTTATGAATTTCTTCGCGTTCTTATTTTCGCATGTAGTATATTCGGGAGTAGGAGCGGCTCAAGGCCGAGGAGGTGAAGCGACGAAAGGGACATGAGCATTCCGATGCTATTCTCAACCAATCTGGCCACATCCTCGAGTCCCAGCCAGTCGGACTGGTGGCTTGTGCGATGCTATGGAAAATTAAGGGGATGAGTCGGGATCCGAGGAAGAGGAGGAAGAGAATGATGGTGGTGCCGAAGAAGATATGGAGAGGATGGAGGGCTGGGACAGCGACGATGAGAGTAGGGCCGATGAAGATGAGGAGGCAGATGAAGGCGAGGATGAAGATAGCGGGAGTGAAGGGGGCGACGTCAACACGCTGGAGTTGCTGAGAGTCAGGAATCTGCCAAGAGATGAGGATGAGAGACGTTCGATGCTCTCGTCCGTCGAAGAGGAGATGAACACGAAGTCAAGGATCGAGGAAGACGATACAAGCGTTCACCGTTCTCCCAACGCTGCTGCGACCGCGTCTCGTTCCTCAAGCGCACTCTTCGACACCCACATGTCTTCCCCATAGCCTTCTCGCTGGAGTAGCGCCGAACGCGTTCAGACGTCTACTCCTGCAAGAGCTTCTCCGCCGTCGAGTCCAATTATTTCTTCACCCTCGCCCACGCACGTGGACAATAAGCTCAACGCTGTGCTTGCGTTCGTCGCTTACAGCTCCTCCACCTCCCCTTCTCCCGTGACATCCCCAGGCAGGGCAATCCACGAGATAGGTCCCCCGCAAGCTCGTGCGTCCCCATCGTCGAGCCTTGCTTACCCTTCGTCTGCCAGTCCGGAGGAGGACAAAGCCGACGACACGATGGACATCGACTCTAATGTCGAGCCCATCTCGACTCCGCAAGACGTCTCAGCACCAGAACACATTGTGGTAGAGGAGGTCGAGCACGATCCGATGACAAGGATGGTGGTGCCACCCATCGTGTCGCGAGAGGTCGATGCCCAAGTCATTAAACTCCGGGGTGACACGCCGACGTGACTTGCGTCCCCTGATACCCGGGAAACATCGCACGTGCAACCCGACGACGACGAGGCGGCTTCCGATGCCGTCAATGAGCAGCTCGTTGGGGACCCTGGGGACCATATTCCAGCGTACCTGAAGCCGTTCGCCATTGCGCCAGTCGACTGGGACCCGGACAAGCAAGGTGAAGGCGCCGTTGCTGCTGGGTGGTGTGCTGCGGCCGTATCAGCAGTCTGGTCTCGAGTGGCTGGCGAGTTCGCACTCGAACCTTCTCAATGGGAAATTGGCGGACGAGATGGGGTTGGGGTGAGTTGTTTACGCGTTTATACTTTTCTTTCGAAAACGTGGAGCTCATGCGATGACTTCGTCAGGAAAACTATTCAGACCATTTCGGTGCTGGCGCATTTGGCGTGCGACCGCGGTATTTGGGGCCCTCATTTGATCGTAAGTCTGACCTCGATATAACTTTGAGTAACTCGCTTATCATTCTCTTAGATCGTGCTGACTAGCGTGCTCCTCAACTGGGACATGGAGTTCAAGAAATATCTTCCTGGCTTCAAGAGTCCGAGCTACCACCGATCTAACAAGCGCCGGAAAGAACTGCGACAGGGCTGGAATAACAAGTACAGCTTCAACGTCTGCGTCACCTCCTATACTCTCGCGAGTCGGGACACGCTCATTTTCAAACGCAAGCCTTGGTACTACATGAACCTCCATGAGGCGCGCATGATCAAGAACTTCAAGTCCCAGCGGTGGAATATCTTATTGATGTTCCGCTCGTTTCGTCGGCTCCTTCTCACTGGCACGCCGCTGCAGAACCTCACGGAGCTATGGGCGCTGTCGGGCACGAATTTTGCCAATCTCAAGGCATTTGGGGATTGGTTTTCGAGTAAGTTTCTCAATGTTTTCTGAGTATTCCTGAGTTTTTCCGTCAAGATGACGCTGACAAAATAATTTCATTCTTCAGACCCGCTTGAAAAGGCAATTGAGATGGGGAGTGCCCTCGACGACGAGAATATCCAGCGTGTCGCATAGCTGCATACGGCCCTCCGCCCTTACCTCCTTCGTCGCCTCAAGCGTGACGTCGAGAAGGAACCGCCGAGCAAGTACGACCACCTCGTGCTCTGCCCGCTGTCCAAGCGGCAGCGCGTCCTGTACGACGAGTTCATGGCCCGAGCGCATACGCGGGAGGCGCTGCAGTCCGGCGTTTATCAGAAGATTGCGAATATTTCCATGCAGCCGCGCAAGGTGTGCAACCACCCGGACCTGTTCGAGGTCCGGTCGATCGTCACGTCGTTCGCGATGACGCGTTCGGCAGTCGCGGGCTACGAGACCAAGGCGCTGCTTGTGCGCCGGCGGCTTATGCAGCAGGAGGAGAACGACGACGAGCAGAGGGTCAGCCTCGGCTTTTTGGGGTTGAGGTTCGTCGACCACCAGGACGTGTCGGTGTTTGCGTCGCATCAGGAAAATGACAAGCCGCTTTACCGGCATTATCCTGACTTTGCCGAGATGAACCTACTTTTTTGGTATTTCCGACACTAGAAAATATTTGGCTAGAAAACCACATCGGTGGCATTGAAGCTGCAAATCTCATTACGAAGAGTAAGCTACGAGTCTTTCAAACCGATTTGGATCCTCAAATATAGCAGAATTGTGGTTTCAAATTTTGGGAAAGTAGGTTCACTCTGGCAAAGTCAGGAAAGTGCGATTAATACACGTGTCAAAATCCTGATGCCCTCGTCGGAGACGACGAAACTAGACGCGGAAAACCCAAGGAACACATCAGACTTGGAGGTCGAAGATCGCCGGCGTCGCACTCACTACCGATGCTGTCTCGCTCGCAGCAGCAAAATGATTGGTAGCCGCCCCGCTGCTCGCACCGATGACTCCCCGACACCCAGTGTGGGCATTGTCGCTGCACGAAACATGGCGGTCGAGCCTGAGAAGAAGCGGTGGAGGTGTATCGTCTTCGATTGTTTCGCTCAGGGCCTTCAAGAAGCCTGTTGAAGCCAACTTTGGACATGCTACTCTTCACTTCACAACTCGCCCAGGAATTGGGATTCTGAGGGACCGTGCTCTTGTTCCTGAAGTATTACATCAGATGCAAGGCACGTATGCTCCCATTCCAGCCCTCGGCCCCCAACACTGAGACCATCTATCTTAGTTCCTCCGCGTTACAACGCCCACATTCGGGAAGCTTGCACCCGTCGAGGCCCGCCTGGAGGTCGAATACCGGACAGGTGTCAGACGCTTCGGCAGAGACGGAGAATAAACTGCCTCTGTATCGCTGCTTCTTACCCATTGCCATGACTAACATTATTTCGATGTGACAAACTTTCTACGACGGTGGGAGCAGGGGGTATGATATCCTAACCAAGGCGTACTAAAGCTCGTCAAGCACGTCAACGCAATATACAAGGTTCGGCGGCAGAATTCATCCCGCTGAGCGTGTTGACTGATGGAGTCCAGCAGATTTGGATAGCGTACGAGTGGTCAGAGGACTTCGTTATCAAGTATTTTGTGATCTTCTGCCGGGTCTGGTCTGACCGCCGTCCCGCTGCTGATTACCCGGAAGCGGAGGCGAATCAGAAGGAGACTGAGAAGACGACCACGGAGATTGTGGACGAGGAGATAGACTATTTTGCTGGAGAAGACGAACTGCGGCAAGATGGGAGCGATGATGTTGTTGCAGGTCATACTGAGAGTAAGTCTTTGTTCGCCGTGTTTGCGATGAAAACCTGGCAGCGTCATAGCTTACATCTCCAATAGCCGACTGCCGCTCTCGCTTGCCGATGCGGGCGGTCATCTCATGTTTGCCTACAAGGATGTTTTGGAGCTTGCCGGGCTTATGACAAGGTGAGGTGGAAGCAGTGTCACCGTTTCCTTGAAGAGTATTAACACGTTTCGTCGCATATTGTATACCCTCCTCTCCGGGCTCTATAACTTCCCTCCGCTGCCCAGGTCGACGCTCCCGCATCGACGGTGATGCCCACGTAGACCAAGAGGCAGGCGCCGGTGAAATCCGAAACACACATCAGTTTCTGCCATTTTCGAATAAGGCAACTTGCTCCACTGTGGTGTTTGGGTGGATGACGGGTGCAATAGTGGCCCCGGGCGGGAGCGTTTTCTGTCCATAAACCAAACCTTCAGCACGGCTTCATAAAATGGGTGTAGCTTACCTGCGTATTGCATCATTTCAAGAAAAGTCGGGTTCCCTATTAGCTCCTTACACACTCAACAGGATCTCGTTTCCACAGGATAAGCTCCTCAGTCATGTTCTGACCACAGTCGTCCTCCAACGTCCCTGTCGCCACAACCTGATCCCAGCTTCAGGCTGGACCACGGGGAAGGGCATCAATCTTCTTCAAGAGATCCCGCTTATTCTTGAAGGATAGTCCTAGCCGTTTTCGGATCTAGGTAATGTCATTGCCCGCCTCCTTCCAAGTCCAAGGGCTAGTTACTCGTCATCTTCATCTCCAGGAATCGATCTGCATTCCCCTGGTTCACGGCGCTCATCGACCACTCAGCGACCTTCCATTCCTCCTCGCTTTGAAACGGCGCCCACTCTGAAAGCTGGTCCTTCTCCTGGCTAGCCTCCAGTTTCTCAAACTCTATCAGCATCAATGCTTTGCCTCGCCAGCTCGGTACCGCTCCGGGAAGTCATACTTCGGTTCTGGGAGTGCCTGGCCTCGGGTATACACTCACACGCTAGCCTCTACTCGCCACATCTTGATGATTCCACAGCCTGCTTGCGCGGCATGAACATTCCTTTGTCTCCGCCGCGGTCTACGTTCACGGTTCTTACCGTCGCTGGCACGAATCGGACAGAAGCTTAACAACTTATCGACTTCGCGACCGTCACTGCTGCACCTGGCTCTGAGTATGCCAACTAGGCACCAGAATCCCTTGACGAAGATTCGCATCACCGAGAACAATCCCTCCGGCACCGTTTGTACCATATGCAACCGTGTCGATCGTGATTGGGACAACTGTTATCATCCCGGCGGTGGAATGGCGGGCACACCTTGGCAGTCCAAGTTACTCTAATTTGTCGGAAAAAGTGTTAGGGGGATTATAATGCCTCCACATTAAGAAGCTATTAGTAATCAGTTCCCAATGCGATCCCATGCATTCCTATAACCGTGCCTTGATCTCGATAATCTATTTTTGATCCCCATCCGCGCCCCTCGATTAATAAGTTGTGCCCAGCACGCGAAAGGCGAGCTCTGCCACCGCATCGCGCTCTCTCACTGCAAAAGCGTACATACCTGATTTTAATGTACCCGGGACTTGGTTTGCTCGAATCATGTACATTGGAACTGATTTTGATCTCATGTACCTGTACCTAGTGTACCGAGTCATGTACTTGGATATGAAAAGCAAAGTCATACTATCCATGGTGGCGAGGTGGAGTAGGGTGGAGTCGGCGTTTGCAGAGGTCTCCACCTGTGCCAAACACGTACAAATGTTGGACTTGGTGTCTTCAGTTTGTCTTTCGTCCTCTCGAGTCCCTTCTCACTCTCACCCACTCCGGCTCGCTCTCGCGCTCAGCCTCTTGCGCAACCGGTCTCATCCCAGCGCCTTTGCCCTCGATCACCCTCCTTTCATTGTCGCTGTTCCCATTGTCCTTTTCGTCGATCATCTTCGCCCGCCCCTTCCACACACCTCGTGGTTGTCCACCAAGTCTTACCTATCCCCTATCCTTGTTGTTCAGTATGGATCCTCTATACCAAAGTCGAACACGCACCCGGGTCTATGAGACAAGGAGAAGCATGACCTGTAATAGTCGCTCAGGGATAAAGAGATAGACGTTTGTGTGCACAAGAGGAAGTCCAAGGTGCGTAGTTGCTTGCTTGTAGCCAGCCGGCCTCACATGTGTCAATTGCTCCCTTACTCGGTATGTCTTTGTTTTATTTTCACAATGCTTTTATCATTGATAATTCAAGGCGACAATGGCAGGCCCGGCCGTAGCGACCCTGCGCCGGCACCACTGAAGAAGGTTCAGGCGGGGGCTCTGGAATTCACGCTCGTCCATTGCGACGTGCAGAGATTACGCGCTCACTGGCGCGCCGTGCGCACAGTCGCACATGTTTGGTGCGAGCTTCCATCTCTTTTCTCCCCCTCTTTCCTCATGCTACGGGAATGTGCAGCGATACTCGTACTCCCCTGTGTTACCGTCCTATTCTTCTGCCTTCTTTGGCGTCTCCGGTCCCTGGTATCTTTCCCATTCAGTGTTTCTGGCGGTGTGGCAGCCTGGGATAGAGAACGTTGTCCGTCGGAAGGACAGCAGGTGGAGCACGCTGATTCACAGCAGCGCGCACTTGAGCGTCTGGGGTGGGTCTGACGGCGGGCGGGCGGTTCGGGAGGTCGGGTGTAGTTCTATTTATCAAGTAGATTAGTCATTACCTACAAGGCAGCCTCGCTGCGCTACGGCACTTGGGGATCTTGCCCTACCATGTTGCTTGATGGGAATCACCATCCCATTGTACTGGAAACGAAAACTCAAACACGAGTAGACACAGTGCCCGTGGATATCTGTCGTGCAGTCCAGAACCCTACATCGTATACAAATACCGAGCACTAACGCGAGATATGCCACAGCCACAAAGCCAAACATGTACAATGCCAAGCCGGGCATAATTTTGAATATACGAGTAATAAAACTACATGAATCTCATCGCATTTGCAGTTATCTCTGCTTGCTTTTTGGTGTGATAATCACTACAAATTGCCATTAAAACTATTAACTTCGTGCTCAGGCCCACCCCGTCGCCTCAAAAATCATGTCCTTTTGACCATTAGAAAGTACATTGAATCGTCCGAAAACGTCCATAGTTGGATCTCGGCAAAGTCCATTACTCTCATGAAATACAAGGCCCGCACCTGCGTTTCACTCCGGTTTTTTTGAGTGCCCGACTCGGGGGTTCCCTAGCTTTGAGACGTTACATAAACAGTACAATACCCTCATTGCTCTCCGGCTGTAGTTTCAGCTTGTTTCAGGGCTCTACGACTAGTGACATGCACATGTACTGTACATACAACTGAAACATGAAATACAGAGACTGTTTACAGTGAGTCTTGTAAAATCCAAGCAGCCACTGAAAACCTTCACACATCCCCAATATATTGCTGAAGGGCTTTAAGATGATACCTAACACCAATATACCATATGCAGGGCTACTTGCGATTGTAGGCCTAAGATACGATTTTGGAGCCAAGACACGATTGTAGGGCCGCGATTGCAACGGGCATCACAGAGCGATTATATGGACGGAGTGGGCTATCATACCAGGAAACATGCTATGATAGAAAATGAGCTGAAATGCGACAAAGAGCTGCCACTAAAGCAATTCCTACTGAGAAACGAGGGCATTCCAGCAGCATCAACGAACGTGAATAGCCCCAGAATTGGAAGCCTCAAGCAAGCGGTTTCCTAGCAGTCGCGTCATCATAGATCACTGCGTCAGGACACTGTAACACCCTGGCTAGACTCAGTCAGCTCGTAATGGAAATGCAGTGCCAAACACTACGGGAAAGCACCACGTAAATATTAAGCAAAAATGCCACTGGTGCTTCCGGGAAGTGCAATATGCAAATGGTAGCAAACATTATTTGGCCAAAATAGGGCAACACGATTGAGTTGATGGTCGGGCGAACACAGCATGGAGCTTTCAGGGTACCACAATGATTAATGATCAGGGATACAGAGTACTTATCAAGTCAATCGCAATCAAAATCTACAGCTTCAGCGTATGGCGGAGTTTTTGCCATTTGCCCTAGAAGCACTTCTAGAAAACAAACCTTGAATTTTAGGTTCTTAGTGCCTGTTCACAGCATATGCAATGTCACTAACACACCGAATACTTCACAGGTGTGAGATCACAGTGGGAAAACACCAAATGAACAAACCCCGGTCTATTGCAATCTTGACTATAGCACATCGTGACAAAGGTCTTGCGAGAGGCTAAATTTTGCTCTAACCCTAGTTTGACGAGATTTGCTGTGCGAGTGAGCAAGCAAACCCTTGCTGTGCAAACGAGAGAACAAACACCAATGTTCCCACCATAGTGGCGCCAACAGCAGCGGCCCAACTAATAGTCAATAAAAACTAGCTTCGCCAAACAGCCACTTCCAAGAACCCAGGCACATTGTCCATGATACGAATTGCGCCCATTTATTGCATTTGTCACACTAATTCCTAAAACGATGAATCTCACTGTTAAAAAGATGTGACATTTTTGGTGCTTCAAAAGCAACGGTAGTATTTCAATAAAGAAATCCCACATAAACAGGTATAATCTATCTGTGAGTCAGCTCGACATACCACACTGTGACGTGAGGTCCAATCTCGATGTTACACGCCACTGTATATTCTGCAGCTTGTGAAATCGGCAACACCAGCTAGCAAACCCGAATTAAAACATCGATGCGGCGCGGACAAAATAGAAGTAGTAAATAACATTCACTTCAAGGATTCTCTCCGTGCTGTGCAAACGGGGACGATTAGCCTGTGCAAACGAGGAAACATCAACAGACCCTTGCTGTGCGATCGAGTGAACAAAACACTGACGATCACACCAAAGTACTGGCCCCAAGCGGCAGCCCAACCAAAATTAGTCATTAATTGGGCGCAAGCCGCCGCCTCAAAGACTACAGAAAAACGTAACAGAATCACCCGGGCAAAACACTGTCAGTGCTCCACACCAACGCAATAAGCAAACAATGGTAAATAGAACTCAGTCAAAGTTACGACAGCACGGCTGAGCTGGTGATCAGCGGATAGTACTAGCCCATATCAAATATGCTACGGAAGAATACAGAAAGTGCATGCTGGCAAAACCCCGAGATGAATACAACCTAAGTGCATTTGATACAATCTATCTGACCTAAATCTAGCAAGAGGCGCAAGCCAAAGTAAGGTACTGGTAGCTTGCATGTGCGTGGACCCGGCCTACAGCCTCCGGGACACCAAGAGCACTTAGGCTAGGCTCGCTGGCTAAATGGAGAACATTTGACACTCATTCAATGCAAGAAAATCAAGGACACAGGCCAGCTCAAGGGTAGCCTCAGTTCTTGGTATGCATAAGAGGGCCACTCAATCCGTCCAAACTACAGAATTTGAAGAGCAGTAGCTTGGGTTAATGATTGATTTCTCAGTATCAACACTTTGTGTATTAATGGACTCAATCACTATGGGAAGCTATACTCCGGTGACCGGTTAATCTAGCCCCACACTGCTGGATGCACTTGGAAAGTCAGAAGATCAAAGGTGCTGCTCCTGCCTGCTGGACGAGCAGCTCGAGCGACCTTATACCTGCATATTTAGCTGTGTAAATCTGATAAAATACAAACGAACCAAGGACAAACCAAGGCGATGGAATATGAGACAGAAATATATCTAAAGGGAGGCCAACGAGGCTCGACCATGAACTTTGCTTAGCAAGATGCGAGAGCTACCAACCGGCGAGCTGAGCATCTTTCCATCACACCTTCATATACATCTGGATGCCCTCTTACTTGGTGGGCAAACGGAACAACGCCCGGGCATGTGCGTCACTGCTGGGAAGAATCTCGTAGATATGACCACTCAGGTTTGCAGGCCACACATCTACAATGATGGCTGCCGTTGGTCAAGGGCTACGAGCCCTAACAAAGCCCGAATGCAAGAGAATGCAGCTCGCGCAAAGCGCATGTACAACATATAAGCTTCAATGCAACCAGAGACACGTAGTATGATTTCGTCCAAGCACAGATGAAAAGTGGGTGGGACAATGAGTTATGGAATTTATGAGCAGCAGCGCGCTGTGTTTATAGTCTCTAGCGTGACCTATATTTGGTAACTCGAAGGAGTATGAGTCAGATACGTCGTGCTGTGTCATTCCTTAGTAGTGGCGCTGCGCCCTCCTGGGCGTTCAGACCTCAGAATCGAGAACCAACCTAGGACAAACGGGGAACACCGCAAAACCAGGTACGATCAAAAATTCGTCCACAATTTTAATGATACGGGTTATCTACATTATTACTATACTCCGAAGACATGGATATTACATGAAAACTACTAACGTACGGGTGTGATTTAGGTACATAAGTTTCAGGTATCTCTGTCCTCGCCTAGTGTCTTGATGAAGCGTATCTTAAAGCCGTTCCATTCTTAGGACGCAATCGCCCCAACACGAACACTTTCGTCCGCTACTATTCCCTACAGTCCTCGTCGAGCTTCTAGGGCAGCCTTTGAAGCCTAAAACATGAGTTCTGGCCCTCGGTCTCGCGCCTGTTCGCCCTCGCAACACTCAACCATCTGTATTGGCCCAGTTTCTTCTTCTCTCCCTGAAATCGTGGTTTGTTTATCTCTAAAGCGGTACCTATCGGTAAAAGGCAGGCAATTGGTCCTATTTGCCTAGCCCATCCCTCTAACTTCACCTCTAGGTATATAACCACTAGTCTGTGCGGCCTGATCTTTGACATCGACCATGCCCCGTGCTCCAAAATCCTCTAAGAAACCACGCCAAACCGTCAAAACCTCCCCGTCACCACACTTGTCCAAGACCAGCGTCTTCTGTGCAAGGTTTGTAAGGGTACATTTGGAAACACCGGTGCACTCGCCTCGCACCTCCAGAGATGTCAGAAAGACTCTGAAACAAAGCAAGACAGCCGGGTTTATCTAGAGCAGAGAGCAAAAGACAAGGCGGAAGTGATGTGCTCTAGCTGCCTTTGTAACATGCTAATTGTCACAAAGCCCGCCAACGCATTCTTGCAGACCGTACATCTATACTGTCATCTATATCAACGCTACAACCTCGCCCTCGAGAGCTTGCTGGTGCAGGTACATCATCGCCGTCTTACCCTTGGTCTCATTGCTGATTCATGCAGGCTCTGTTGAACCTGGAGTAGTAGTTGACGCACCAATGCTTGAGCCTGAGTCCCCAGATGCGGGTGGGAAGCACGATAACGATCTACTGCCATTTGAGCCTCCATGTATGTATTTTTGTTCTTCTTGTTTGTCTGCTGCACTGATCAATATCTCACTAGCTCCCGAAGATGACTTCTATGACAACGAGATGGAGCCCATCATGCCCCAGCCCACAAACTTTGCTTCGGCCAGGTCTCAGGGTAACCCCACCGAATTCAAGATAGTATATCACCCCCATAACGCTCGCCTTAGTACTAGTCAGTGGATGATTTTCGCCGTCGTACCGACACCTCACTCCGCCCAGATGAAGACGAACCTTGGCTGCCCTTTCGCAGTCGTGCAGACTGCAAGCTCGCGTCGATAATTGTGGACCATAATATTCCCGATTCTGCGGTGGATCGACTCCTTTCCCTCATGAAAGGAGTCGCCGACGGAACTTGCGACGGAAACTCAAAGATAACGTTCGCCTCCTTGCAAGGAATCCGCATCAGGAAAAACAATGCATTGTTTCTGAGATTTTTTAGATTCAGGATGACGCTAAAGAAGAGGTAAACTTGTCATTTGTAACGCCGTATCATTTGTCACGAATCTATGTCTAGGCTCCTCAAACAAGCGGCCACAATTGCTGAAGAAGGATACTTATTTGAGTGTTACCATAACGTCCTCCGCTATCTCTACGTAGTCATCATAATCCTCTCTGCCGACTACGAAGAACAGTAAGCACTTCGACACCAATCATTATGCTGAAAACTCACCTTGCCTACTTTTAACGGGTGTATGGTGGCTCTGATATGAGGTGCTAACGGAAAGTGCCCCTGCCCAACATGCCTGGTTCCTGCAGGTGAACAACATGAACGTTGCAAGGCATTTTCTCAGCGATCTGCTGAGGAAGTGAAGCAATTGGTTGCTGACTACAAGTCCGATAATGGTGACAAGAAGAATAGGGCGTCTGAGGTGGTACCCGGATGACTGGCGGGTCTTCACGACAGTCGTGCTGCGCAAGTCTGGTAAGCCTGACTATTCAGTGCCTAAGGCTTACCGCCCAATTGCGCTGGTCAACACAATGGCCAAGCTCCTGTCGGCGGTTGTCACGGAGCGTACCTCGTCTCTCCTGGAGGGAAAGGGTTTGCTGCCGCCGCCGGGCCGAAAGCTTTCGGGGGGCGTCCAGGCCGGAGCACGGTGGATGTGTTGTTGGTGGTGGAGAGTGCGGTGCGGAAAGCGTGGCGTTCGCACGAGGTGGTGTTGGTGTTGTTTCTGGATATTGAAGGGGCGTTCCCGAACGTGGTGACAGATATGCTGCTGCACGAGATGAAGCTTGTGCGCTTACCCGCGGACACGGTTGCGCTCGTGGAGGCCATGCTGCGCGATCGGCGGACTCGCCTACGCTTTGACGACTTCCTCTCTGAGGCTATCGCCATCCGCAATCATCTGAAAAAGTGCACCCGTGTTAACAGGTGTTATAACAACTTAAAATACATGATAACGGTCGTTAGACTCGTTCAGATAAACCAAGGTCGTTAGCATGATAATGGATGCACGACATTTGTCAAATCAGTGGGATATTGTCATATTGCGAGATGTTACCAGAGTTTACGAGCATGATCAGTCAATACGACCGTGCTGAAAATATGGCTTCAAATTCGACTGAAAAAGGACACCTGACCGTTTCCTTACTAGACCCTACACATCTTGTTGCAGTAGACAAGTGGGCCAACATATTTGTCTTAGTGCAGTATGTGGGAGTTGAACACGCAGCCTTGAGCTATACTCTCAGTGCACGCTAAGAGAGTTACCCGCTACACCAAGAAGCCATATAATCCTAATATAATAGTACATATATATACTCCTGTATAAACTACACTTACTGCTCCTAAAAATCGGCCTTTTATCAGCACCTGTTAAGCCTATTAATAGTTTGTCATGCATTATCAAATCACCGCTATTTTTGCCAACCGTGGTAATTTTGCCCCAAAATGATAACCCATGACGACGCCTTACGAGCCTTTACCAGTAGGGCATCAATGTGACTATGAGTTAGAATTCCTCTTTTTGCTTGGTATACTGTTGTTATATTACTTCCAGATTATCACGGTCGTACAGCCCGTAATTCTTTTTCACTTTTTCAGATGATGGCATCGTCCAGGGGGACCCTTTCTCGATGCTGTTGTACGTCATTTATTGCTCGCGTCTCCTGCGTGTCGCTCGCGGGAGGAAAGAGGACGCGATCGTGTATGTCGATGACACATCACTGTTGGCTCGGGCAAAGACTTTCCACGGGACTCACCGGATTCTCTCCGACATGCTACACCGGGAGGGCGGCGTTCTGGAGTGGGCTCGTGCGCACAACTCCAAGTTTGAGGTGTCGAAGTTCGCGTTGGTGGATTTTGGGAAGAATCGGGTGAAGGAGCGACCTTCGATGGTGGTGGAGGGTCGGGTGATCGAGCCAGTTCAGCATCACAGGCTGCTGGGAGTGGTGCTGGATCAGGAGCTGCGATGGGGGCTGCAGGCGGCGGCGGCGGTGGAACGGGGTGCGAGGTATGCAATGCAGCTGCGGAGGCTGGCGCGTCCGTCGTACGGGATGCCCTTCCAGATGGTACGGCGGCTTTACCACTCGGTGGTTTTGCTGAAGATCTTCTATGCCTGCGAGGTCTGGCTCTCGCCTCCGCTCAACGGGGCTATGGGCCAGGCCCGGGGATCCCTGGGTGTCATGCGGAAGCTCACGTCGGTCCAGCGGATGGCCCTCTGCCCCATGACGGGGGCTATGAGGACCACGCCCACAGCGGTGCTCCAGGTTCTTGTGAATGCGCCTCCTATGGAGTATACCGCACAGCGGGTGCTTCACCGTGGCGCTGTTCGTCTTGCCACCCTCCCCCCTTCCAATCACGTTGTTACCCTGTTACAGTTCGAGAACGCAGCACAACGGTTAGTGGCGAAGCACAAGTCAGCGTTACACGTTTTGGCGCACCGTCTCAGTGTCCCCGTGGGGGAGCTCGAGCCGCTCCACCGCACTCCCTACCCTTCGGTGCCCATGCCATTCACGGTCAGTGTGGTGAAAGACAAAGACACTTCAGTGGAAGAACATGATGCTCGTCCTCGGAATGAATGGGCAGCGTACTCTGACGGTTCTGGGGTGGAAGGGCTCGTGGGGGCGGCAGCGATCTTACATCGGCCGGACGGGTCGACTCGGTCGGCGCAGTACCATCTGGGTTCGGCAGCCGAGCATACGGTGTTCGAGGCGGAGTTGGTGGGGATCTCCCTCGCGCTGGACCTGCTGAGGATGGAACGGGGTGCGGAGGCGAGGACGGTGAAAGTGTATGTCGACAGTCAGGCAGCGTTGGCGGCCACCCGCGAGCCTTCATCAGGAAAAAGGCTTTTGGAAATTACGTGGGGTGCCACCGGGTTACAGTGAATTGTTCCCATTGGAGGTTATTTCCTACGTGGTTCATGTCTTTCCGTTATTTACCTGGCTGTACGGAGGAATTGCTATTAATATGGGAAATGGACTACAGGTTCACCACGCTTACTCGAGTGACTATATCTTGCCCAATTGTACCAATGTAGGACAACGAATATCCAAGTCGTGCTACACTTCTGGCGCACGACGAGAACGCCGAAGCTGTTGTTTGGCTCTGTGTGCGCATGCAATTCATCCTCCAACCACTGTTCTCTATATAGTCCGAGCTCGCGCGTCGTCACTCTCTTTTGTTTCTTCCGATGATGGGCGCAGGTGCCACAAACCGCAAACCCGCGTGCATAGTACGCCCTCTCCCTATGGAAATGGACGCTCTTCGTAACGTGCGGCCCGGCCCTGTGGACATATGCTCTGGATAAGGCATACTCTCCACAGGTTGGGCAGCGCGTATAACGTCGAGCAACAATCAATGATTGCTGTCTCAGTGTTCATGCTAACGTCCCACCCGACTACTCCGACGAAGAGGATGATGACACGTCCCCTGATGCTTCCGAACCCCTCGAAGATGATGCCTTCACTTTCGCCATTACCCGTTACCGCAGCCGCTCCACTTCTAGCGTCGGCACTGGGCCTGGATCCGAGGCTGAGTAGTTATGATACCCCTTGTGCTGTAGCTTAAAAATACCAATACCATTGTTATTGTTGTGTTTGTTATTTTTCTCTGGTGTGGAGATAAGCGTCGGTGAAAGCGTGAATATGATTCAATTTGCACGCAATTGTTTAATGTTGGTCACTTGTAATTGTAAGACCTATGAAATCTATTCTCCGAAATTACTCGTTTATTCAAAATTATGCCCGGCTTGGCATTGTACATGTTTGGCTCTGTGGCTGTGGCATATCTCGCGTCAGGCTCGGGATTCGTATACGGATGTAGGGCCTCTGGACTGCACCACAGATATCCACGGGCACTGTCTACTCATGTTCGAGTTTTCCTTTCCAGTACAATGGGATGGTGATTCTCAACGAGCACCATGGTAGGACAAGATCCTTAAGTGCCGTAGCGCAGCGAGGCTGCCTTGTAGGCAATTATTGCCGCGCAGCCGTTCACAATGGTAAGTAATTTGAGGCCTATGTTGAAACCCGTCATTCCCTGCTATTACAGCCAAATACAACAATTACCTCGACATTTTTTCCCTGATGTTCTACGCGGACGCCGGGGCACTACTTGGTGCCCCCAATCTGGGACCTGGCTCGTGGGGTTGGGAGGCACCTGCAGGGGACGCGGGTGGAGCTCACGTGGTTGGCGGGGCATCGGGGTGTGGAGGGGAACGAGACGGTGGATGAGGCGGCGAAGGAGGCAGCGTTGGGGGGCAGGAGGGTGAATAGGGGAGGGCGACTGCCACGGCACCTGCGGAACAGGTTGCCGGTGAGTGTGTCCGCGCTCAAACAGGGTATGGTGGGACGCCTCAAGGAGGCGTGGACGGCTGCGTGGCTCCAGTCGGACCGGGCTCCCCGCTTGCAGTCCATGGGTTACGGGAAGGTGGCCTCGGAGGCCCACATGAAGCAGATTGCTGGTCTCCCCCGCCGCCAGGGCGCTCTGCTTACCCACTTCCGCTCCCACCACATTGCCTTGGATGCCTTCTTGCATCGCATCAACGCGATGGACAGCCCGGTCTGTCGACATTGCGCGCGGGGCGTGGACGAAACGATACAACATTTCTTGTTTGATTGCCCGGCATGGTCGGGAGCGCGGCAGTTGGTGGTGCGAAAGGCGGGCCGTCGGGCTGAGTCCTTGGAGTACCTCTTGAACGACGAGAGGGGGGTTCGGGTGTTGATGGTGTTTGTGAACTCGACGGGCCGCTTCCGCCAGACATATGGTGATCTCCATAGGGGAAAGTTTACGGCTTAGGCCGCTGGCCGCCTCGCCGCGGCGCCTCGTCCGTTATGCCATGACAGAGTTGACGGGACCGGCGTGCATTCGGGGGCGATTGTTTCTTTTGTTACAGTACCTCCTTTCTGGTTTCGTCGGCTCAGGGGCATGGTGTTCACGTCCTTTTGGGCGGCGGACACGTGTAAGCATGATTCGCTCAGAGGGTTCTCATAGTGTATACTGCGTAGTACTGTCCGTCATGGGGCTTATTGCCCTCAGGACATTAAAATGATTATTCAATTCAACTCAATTCAGGGCGTCTGAGAAGCTCGATGACCAGAGTTGGAGAGCGGTGCAGGTACTCAAGTTTCTATCTCTTCAAATCTCTTGATGCTAGCTGAGGATAACTCTGCCCCAAAATAGAACGCCTTCTGGTCACTTCGTGCGTTGGATCCGGCTGACGCTATCTCAGTGGACCATCTTCACGCATTCCACCACGGACTCTTCGACAAGCACATGTGGCCCGAACTTCTCAAGATCCTTGGGAACTCGAAAGATTCTCGCGATCACTTGTCCATGCTCGACGAACAGTAAGTCATTTTTGCCTAGCGCTTGCGCAAGCACAGATGACTCATGTTTCCCGGTCTCGTTCGTACTATATTCAAGAAACTCCCTCACTGAAGTGGACTTAAGTCGTGGTGTGCCCGGCGTCACGTCTAGCGATGGAAACAAGTTTCGAGATTTATCTCGTGTAAGGCTCACGCGGCGCCGTACTTCCGATTTCACCACACTCCTCAAAAAACACTAATCTGATTTCATGTTCTGGCCTTGTTCTGCCCAATTTTCAGGCCATAAAATCGGATCTCGTTCCATTTATGGAAGATCTGCAGGCACATATACTGAAATCTGACACCAATCTGCCCTTTTGGGTTACTCAGCGTCTGCATGGAAGTAAAAGGTACGTAATCGTAGCGCGTCCGGATCAGCGCTCGGTGATCTTGGGGTGTAAGTCACCAAGCTCACAGCTGCTCACAGTAGGAGATTCCATCCCAGAATCAGCAAGAGCTTGCGGGGTGTACAGGAGTCAAAACAAGGCATGCATATTCAAAACACAGATTTTGTTAAGACATGTTTTCTGTACTTATTAGCGGGCATCTTGCAGGTCTCGGTTCGCTATGGTAGTGCTCCACTCCCTTAGGTCTTGACTAGGTTTCCCTCCTTGAACAGATGGCGAATTTCGCTTGAAAAGCTCATCTGTTGGCAGACCAATGAGCCCAAACGTGTTACACCACCAACAAGGAAAGCACTTGCATTGTACCAAAATTCACGCACTAAGGGAATGCATTGATCCCACCTCCACCCAAATGTTTCCATCATCCGCAGTTTATCTGCTGGACTAGCGACGATATGCCGTGCCACACGTAACTTTAGATCTACGTCAACTTTATTGAAATCTTCCGGGCTTGAGGGATATTGCGCGTCAATCAGGGACTTTAAACTGCGGAGCTGATGTAAAAGTGGGGAGAGAGCCTGGAAATGTGTGTCTTTGAGCCAATGAAGCGTATCATCAGCGTCGTTCTCAAACTCGGCCATGACGACGTCGTAAGTGTGCTGCGTATGAAGCGCGGCGAGTGCGTCAGCGTCATGTGGATCGTCTGAATTACCACGGGACTTCCAATACGCCGATTCCATGTCGATCGAGGAGAGACGGTCGTGCCTCTCGGCGCGATAGGCTTCAGCTGTGAGAGCCATGAGCACGGAGAGGTCGGCTTGGTGCTCTGCGCGTAACTCTGCGATATCATTCTCTACTTTGGCTTTGAGCTCCATGAGATGGGGAATTCCGGTGGTGGGTGTTGTTTCACGTATATCAGGCTGAGGTGCATCCGGGTTCAGGTAGTGTCTGTTTGATTGAGGGTTACGCGAGGGACGTCATCGGTGTCAAAGTGACGTGAACGGTGGGGGCTCACGCTGGCACGGGCTTGCCCTTCGTCTCAAGTATGTACTTCGTGAACTTATGATTCCGAATCATGAGCGCGTCAGGACGAGTGTCATCTGCAGATTCGTGTGGCGGAGAGGGAAGCGACGTGTTCTCGATGAAACTGTTGCGACAAGCGCCGGAGTTGGATGGATGCGGGCATTGCTGTGAATTGTTCATGGCGTCTCTGTAGATATGCCAATGTGCTGCTGGTTGGATGGGGTGGGGACGGCGAGCAGGATCATCACTAAATCGGGGGAAAATTTTCGGGGCATAAACAAGGTTATCAGTGTTGTAATATTACCATTGATAGAATCCTGTATGACCGTAAATGGCAAGTATTCAACATTGGTTAAGCGTCAGCCCACAATATGAGAACAGAATATAGCAGAATATCATATCGTCAGGATCTTACCATCGAGTATCATATAAGTGTGAGCTTACCATGGACCAAAACTCAAGGTAAAATCACTCGCAATATGTGGGAGCATAACAAGCCGGATCTCATTTTGAAGGCAATATGACCATTTGATTATAAGAAACTGCTCATAAATCGGTGAGCCACTAACGAAAGCACGCTGAGTAGTAGAAGACTGACCTCTACAATGCATCAAAGCCAGCCTTGTCAGCGAGCGCTTCGTCCTCACCCAAGAAACTTCTCTCATCCGCCTGCTCTGCAGTATCCATCATCAGTAAAAGTACGGT